TCGAGCGCGCTCTGCTTCGCGGCGACCTCGCGGTCAAAGATGGCCTGCAGCTCGTCGAGCGTGTGCACGAGCTTCTCGCGCACGTCGTGGCTCTTCTTCACGGGGCCGGGCGGCGGCTTGGTGAGGGAGCGCACCATGTCCGCGGGGCGGTACGAGCCCAGCTCGCTGAGCACAGTCTCGCCCGCTGCCGGCGAGGCGCCCGTGATGCCCCAGTCGAGCGGCGTAATGCCGAGGTAGTTCGGCAGGTCCTTGCGCGCGCCTGCCTCGAGCAGCATCTGGATCATGTTGGTGTTGCCGAGGCGCGCGGCAATGCTCAGCGCCGTCTCGCCCTCGTCGTCCTGCGCGTCGAGCAGGCCCGGCGCGCTCGACCGGCCGAGGCGCTCGAGCACGCAGCGCAGATAGTACCGCGCCGGCGCCGCGCGCCCTTTGAGGCCGGCCACGAGCGCGATGTGGTGCAGCACCGTGCGCTTGCGGTGGTCGCGCGTCTCGAGGCTGCTCGCGAGCAGCTCGAGCAGCTCGGGGAACTGCGACAGCTCGTACGCATTCGTCACGAGCACCGAGCGGTGCAGCGCCGTCTCGCCCGCATAGTTGCCCACATTGATGTTGGCGCCCCCGTGCGCGGCCGGCAGCGCCGTGAGCATGCGCACGAGCGGCAGGCGGCACAGCGCGGCAGCCCAGTGCAGCGCCGTGTGGCCATGGTCGTCAATGACAAGGTTCAGCGGCGAGCGCCGCCGCGCCGCGTCGCCGCCCAGCTCGTGCAGCAGCGCTTGCAGCTCGTCGACCGGCGCACGCGCAGCGGGCGCGGCCGCAGGGTTATGCACAAAGAGGCCCGTCAGCTGCTCGCGCGCGCGGCGCTCGCGCTCGTCGCCCAGGCGAGGCGGCACGGCCTTCTCGGCGAAGCGCGGGCCCGCCGCGTCGCCGGCCGGCGCGTCGTCGCCGGCGTCCGTGGGCGGCACCGCACTGCGCAGCGCGTCGCTGCGGCTCAGCCCGTTCAGGTCGCGCACAGACGACGCGTCGTCCGCACCCGGCAGCGGCACGCCCTGCGGTGTATAGCCATGCGACGCATACGCGCCGAGCGCCTGGCGCTCCGTGGGGTGCGAGCCGGGCGGCACGCCGACCGGTGGCGCGGGCGCGCCCGCCGCCGGCAAGGTATGCACGAGGCCGCCGGCGGTCGTGCCGAGCGCCTCAGCACTCGCGCGCGGCGGCTTGAGGGTCAGGAAGCGCGGCTGCTGCGGCGCGGCGCGCGGCGCCGGCGCGCGCGGGCTCTCGGGCTTGCGTTTCGCCGGCGCCGACGGGCCCATCGCGCGCGATGCGGCCGGATCAAAGTCGAGGAGCGGCCGGATGAGGTGGTATACGCTGTAGTTCATCGCGAGTTCCTGTGCGCGCTGCAGGGGAATCCAGGTCCCCTGGAACGTGCCAAAGCCGCCCTGGACCTTGTCGTGCTCGCCAGTGAGGATTTCGCGCTCGAGAATGCGGGTGCGGCGCGCCTTTTCGATGCCGGCGATCTTGAGGATCTGCGTCGCGTTGAGGTACCCGTCCGAGCGGCGGCGCATGAGGGCAATGCCACGCACGGTAATCTCGTACACGGGCACCGACGAGTACGTGGCGAGGTACACGGTCGGCGTCGGGCCGGCCGGCGCAGCGGCACTCGGCGCGCCCGCATCGCCGGCGGGCGCGGGCGGCGCGCCGAGGCTCGCCGGCGCGCTGGGCACCATGGGCGGTGCGTACGGTGCCATGTCGTACGCGTACGCCGGCTCCGGGTGCGTCATCGGCGGTGGGTATCCAGGCTGCGGCGCATACGCGTGGTACGGCATGCCATGGGGCGGCGCCTCGCCCGGCCGGCCGGGCCGCCGGGCGAGGCCGGCGACAGGGTACCGAGGCGCCGCGAGGCCAGCGTACATGTCGCGGGGTGGCATGGCAGCAGAGCCGTTCGGCTGGTGCATCGGTGGCTGGGTCAGCATAGGGCACACACCATTCGCGAGCAGCCCGCACGACAGGATCGACGCGCGGCGACGCGAGCGAACACGGCGCCCGCCGGCGCGGCCCTCGCGGGCCATTCACGTGACTCGGGTGCGGCGGTGCGGCGACGGGCACGGGCGCCGAGCAACGACGACGCATGGTGCGCCTGGGGATCGCGGAGGCGCAGTATGAGTACGCCGCGCAGGCGGACGACGAGCTGAGCGTCGCGGAAGGTGATGTCGTGTATATTGATGACGTGCTCGACGGCGCGTGGTGCCAGGCCCGCCACAAGGCGTCGGGCGCGGCGGGCCTCGTGCCGGCCAACTATGTCGAGATGCGTGCGCCGCTCCGATCGGTCGTGGCTGCGTACGACTATGAGGCACAGAATAGCGATGAGCTGACGATTTCCGAGGCGCAGCCGCTCGATGTGCTCGAGGACGAGGGCGAGTGGCTCCTCGCGCGGACGCAGCCGCCCGCCGCAGACGCGGTCGGCCTCGTGCCGGCCAACTATGTGGAAGAGGCCGACGCGGGAGGCGCTGTGGACGGGCCTGTGCCAAGCGATGCCGCGGCGGAAGACGCCGCGGCGGAAGACGCCGTGGCGGAAGACGCCGTGGCGGAAGACGCCGTGGCGGAAGACGCCGTGGCGGAAGACGCCGTGGCGGAAGACGCCGTGACGGAAGACGCCGTGACGGAGGCTGTGGCGCCTGCGCCAGCGCCTGCGCCAGCGCCACTGGCCGAGGCGCCAACCCTGCTGCCGCCGCCGACGCGCAAGGCCATGACGCCTGCGGCGGCTGCATCGCCGAGCGTGTCTCCAGCCATGGCGCCCGCGTCGCGGCCGGCGTCGCCGCCTGCGGCCGACGAGCTGGACGCTGGGGATGGCCAGGCGTCGACGGTCGTGCCGTCCAGTGTGCCGGCGTCGTGGACGGCGCCCGGCGCCGGCGACGAGATCCGCATGTGGTCCGTGAGCCAGGTCGATGCAAAGAAGCGCAAGCGCCAGTCAAAAGGCACGCTGGGGATTGGCAACGCGTCTGTCTTCTATGTGACGGACCAGGACGGCACGTCTGTGCCGCGCATCGCGATCCAGGACGTGCAGTCGTGGACGCTCGAGAAAAACAAATACCTCGTGCTCACGGTGCAGTCCAAGGACGTGCCGCCGACGCTCGTGTTTCATGTCGGCTCGCGCACCGCGTACGAAGCGATCAGCGCGCGTCTCGAGCAGAGCCGGCGCATGCACCGCGAGTCGTCGGCGCTGCGAGTCCCGCCGGCTGCGCGGCGCATGAGCGAGAGCGAAATGGTCGTGGTCCTGTACGACTTTGAGGCGCAGGAACACGACGAGCTGTCCGTCTCGGAGAACGACCAGCTGTACCTCGTGGAGCGCGAGAACGACGAGTGGTGGAAGCTGCAGTCGGCCACGGGCCAGGTGGGCGTGGTGCCCGCCTCGTACGTCAAGCTGCTCAACCAGCCGCCGAGTCCGAGCCTCGTGGCGCTCGACCTCAAGATGCGGAACATGCCGGCCGAGGAGCCGCGCGCGCCGCGGCCGGCAGAGCGCACCGCCGCGCGGCCCTCTGGCGCGCGCATGCGCACGTGGGTCGATGCTACGGGCCGCTTCCGCGTCGATGCGGAGCTGGTGGGTGTGCGTAACGATGTGGTGCGTCTGCACAAGGCGAACGGCGCGATCATTGATGTGCCGCTGGTCAAAATGTCGCGGGCGGACCTCGTGTACCTGGAGAGCGTCACTGGGCGCCGCCTGAGCGGCGACTCGACGGAGGCGCGCCGGCCGGAGCGGCGCGAGGTGGACACGGGCGAGCGCCAGCGCCGCGACAGTGCGGCGCGCGAGCGCACGGCGCGTGAGCGCCAAAAGCCGCGCTCGCATATGGACTGGTTCGAGTTTTTCCTGAATGCGGGCGTCGATGTGGACTACTGCACGCGCTACGCGACGTCGTTTGAGCGCGACCATATGGACGAGTCGATCGTCGCGGACCTCGATGCCAGCATGCTGCGTAGCTTGGGTCTCAAAGAGGGCGACATTCTGCGTGTGCGCCGCTATATCCAGCAAACCTACGGCGCTGCACCAGAGACAGAGTCGTCGTCGCCTGCGCCGCTCTCGCAGGCCGCGCGGGACCGCCAGGCACAGGAGGACGAGGCGCTGGCGCGCCGCCTGCAAGCGCAAGAGATTGCCGCGCAGCGCCGCGCGAGCACCCAGCCGCCGCGTGTAGAGACGCCGCGCGCCGCGGAGCCTGAGCGCAAGCCTGAGCGGTCGCCGGCGCCAGCGCCGGCCGATCCGCCTACGCCCCTGGCGCCGGCGCCGACGGGTGTGGATGCTGCGACGATTGCAGCTGCCGTCGAGATTGTGCGGCAGCGCGAGCGCGAAGAAAAAGAGGCGCGGGAGGCGGAGGCGAAGAAGAACGAGCGCCCGGCCGACCCCAACTCGGAGCTGTTTGACAAGCTGGAGCGCCTCAAGCCGGCGCCCAAGCCAGCGGCGCCCACGCCGGACCCGAATGGGCCGCGTGGACCGCTCGCGCCTGTGCCGCTGAACCAGTCGCTTTTGCAGCCGCTCATCCCGCTGCAGGGCACGGGGCAGTTTGTCCCGACGCAGGCGACGGGCATGGGCTTTATGCCGCAGCCTACGAGCTTTGCGCAGCCGGGCTTTATGCCGCAGCCTACGGGCTTTGCGCCGCAGCCCACAGGGCCGTATGGTGTGCCGCAGCCGCAGCCGACGGGCTATGCGCCTCAGCCGCCCACGCTCGGTGCTGCGACGGCTGAGACGACTGCTGCGACGAATTCGCAAGAGCGGTTCAGCGCGGCGAATGTGTTTGAGCAGATGAAGACGGGCGCAGGCGCGTTTGGAAATCGGGACGCGTCGGCGCCCCAGAGCAGTGGCAAGTACGATGCGCTGCGTGCGCAGCCCACGGGCTTTGCAGCCGGCGGCATCGTCGATGGGCCAGCACCCTCCCCCTTTACGGGGGGCTTTGCGCCGATGGGTATGATGCCGCCTGGGTACATGCCGACTGGATACTATCCGTAGATAAAAAAAGATCGCATGACCCTAACCAGGCTCGAACTGGCGACTTTGGAGTAACACTTAGTATTCGTATTAGCTCCACACTCTAACCGACTGAGTTATAGGGTCGTAAGCGAATCCCTGACCCTAACCAGGCTCGAACTGGCGACTTTGGAGTAACACCTCGTATTAGCTCCACACTCTAACCGACTGAGTTATAGGGTCAATGGGATGCTACCTCGTTGGGAACGGGTGTGTATCTAGGGACAGCCCCCTGTCCCGATCGATAGCGCCCCAACGCGCGGCTCAGGTGGACTTTCCCGTCGGTCCATGCGCCGGGATGGAGGATGTGTCAGAGGTCCCATCGGCGCGGGACTCTTTTGAAAGTCTCAGGGAGCCATGGCAGAGCACTCTGGACGAGTCACTAGAGCTGCTCACCGAGCTGCATATCCATGAGCGGCGCGCGCCGCAGTGGCATACGGTCCCCGTCGGCCGCGATGGCGCTCCCGACGACATACCTGAGGACGTATCGCTCGCAGTGATGCGGCGCCGCATCAAGGGCACGGACGTGTACCGTGCAACGTGGACGGGCACCTGCGACGCGCCGGATCCCTGCGCCTTTCTCGCCCTGCTCACGTCGCAGGCGCTTGTGCCCCAGTGGCTGCCGATCGTCGAGGGCTCACAGATCCTCGAGACGCTCGGGCTGCACACGCGCCTGTGCCGGATCCGCTTCAAGTTCGGGTGGCCCGCGAGCCCCCGCGACGCCGTCGTCCTCGCGCAGGTGCGGCACGATGCGTCGACGCTCGTCCTCACCGTGGCATCCGTGCCTCGCACGCCCGATGCGCCGAGCTACCTGCGGCCCGCGCCGCCCTATGTGCGTGCACAGGTGCACCTGCTCTCGCTCGTCGTGAACCGCCGCACAGACGACGCCGCGCGCCTGCGCATCACGGCGTACTGGGCGCTCGAGCCGCGCGGGTCGGTGCTGGGTGTGCGGCCCAGCACCATGATTGCGCCCCTGCCGCACATGCTGCCTGCGCTCGTCAAATGCGTACAAGCGAACGGCACGCGCATTGCCTATGCCGCGCAGTACGGTGAGAGCATCGAGATCCACGCGCAGCACGCCGAGCCCGCCCTGCACCTCGACTACGTGGTCATGGCGGGCAAGGCGCGCGTGCTCGAGCTGGACGGCGCGCGCGCTGTGTCCATGCCGCCGCGCGCGCTGCGCATCCGTCTCGCGGCCGCGCATGGCTGGGACGTGCGTGTGGCGCGCGGCTCCCACCCAGAGGATGTGCAGGCGAGCGTCGCGCGCAACGGCGCGTGGTACGAGCTGGACGTGCGGCATGATGCGCCGGACGGTGCCGATGCGATGGTGCGCATGACGCTTGACGCAACGAGCGTCGAGACCGACGGTGTGCGCCTGAATGGCGAGGCGCCCGCCGAGACGCGCGCGCCCAAGGCGAAGGCCCAGGATGACGCCGTGCTGCAGCGCTTTGCACAGGCCGAAGAGCATGCGCCGAGCGCGAGCGACCAGCGGCGCGTGGCCTCGACGTCGGCGCTGCGTGCGCCAGAGCTGGGGCCCCTCGCATCCACGGTGCGGCGCAACTATGTGTACTTTGCGTCGCTCCTCCAGGAGCCCGAGGCCAAGTGGACCCATGTCAGCGACACGCGCGGCGTGACGGTGACCAAGCTGGACTCGATCGACCCGACGCTCGTGGTGTACCGCGCCGAAGCGACGTTTGTGGGCCTGAGCGTGTGGGACCTGTACAGCCTGCTGAGCACGCCAGCGCTCGTGGCGTCCTGGAGCGCCGGCGTCGAGCGCGCCGAGCTGCTCGAGGATCTAGGCGGGCAGAGCAGCGTGTGGCATGTGGCCTACCGCGCCGCGTGGCCCGTGAGTGCGCGAGACGCGGCGCTCGTGCAGACCGTGTACAAGTCGCCGACGTCGATCCACCTCTTTTCCTTCTCGGCGGACGAGCGTGCGCCGCCCGCGAGCGCCGGCACGATCCGCACGCACGTCGACCTGCAGGGCTGGAGCATCGAGGCGCTCTCGCCGACGACCGTGCATGTGACGCTGATCGAGCAGAGCGATCCGCGGGGATGGCTGCCCAAGACGCGCATCCCGCCGCTGATGGTCGCGGCGATGGCAGACGCCGGCGAGCGGGCGATCAAGCATGGCGGCCCGCCGATGGTATCGCGCATGCTGAATGCGCGTGCCAAGGTACAGAGCTACCCCCCCGCGATGGATGCGTTCCACCTCGAGTACGTCCCGTGCGCCGACACCGCGTCGGACGCGCTCGAGTGTGAGCTCCGCTGCGATATCGAGCGCTGGGCACCGAACCTCGACATCCGCGTAACGCCGCCGCCGACGGCCGCGTCGTGCCTGCGCCGGCATGCGCTCACGGGCAGTGGCGGCCTGTGGCTCACGCTCGAGCACGCGAGCGCCGAACGCGTGCAGGTGGACGTGCGCAAAGGGCCCGTCCAGAGCGTCGAGCACGGCGTCGTGCTGCTCAATGGCATGCGCGTCCGTGTCGACACCGACGAGCTCGATGCCGCGCAAGTGCAGGCGCTTGCGCAGAAAAAGCGCACCAAACCACAGCGTGTGGCGCTGGACGGCCCTGTGGCGCCGACGAGCAGGGCGCGGCCCGTGCCGGAGGCCGAGGCGCCCGTGCCGGACGAGGCGCCGCCGCCTGCGCCGCCGCGCATGCACGCGGCGCTGGCGGCGCTCGGTGTGCTGCAGCACATTCACGCGGAGCAGCCGCCGGACCCCGCGGGCGCCCCGGCCGGGTGGACGCTCGTCCAGGAGAAGAAGGGGCTGCGTGTGCGGCGCCGGCTGCTGCCGGGCGTCTCGCCGCTTGCCGTACACCGCGCCGACAAGGTGGTGCAGGGCGTCGCGGCGGAGGACCTGTTCCCCCTCGTGGCCTACCCCGGTGCGCGGGCGCACTGGGACGAGCAGCTGGCCGAGTGCCGCGTGCTGGAGAGCTACGGGAGTGGTGCGAGCGTGCAGCTGTGGACGACGCCGCCGTCGTTTGCGTTCCAGGCGCGCGCGTTTGTCGTGGCGAGTCTCGCGGCGCGGGGATGTGGCGGCGCCGACGAAGACGCGGCCAAGTCGCCCGTGTACTTTTACGCGAGTGCCTCGTGCGACGAGGCGCCGCTGCCGCCGGCGCTGGCCGAGGCGGCTGGCTCGCTGCCGCGGGGGCGCGTGTGGATCGACGGGTGGATCCTGGAGAATATCGATCCGTACAGCACGGACAGCTATGCGATTCCGAGCACGCGGTGCACGCACGTCGTGGCGATGGAGTATGGCGGCATGGCCGCGGGCCTCCATGCGCTGTGGAATGCGGCGCTGCCGCGCACGCTCCTTGCGCTCGAGCGCGGCGTGGCGACGCTCGGGCCGTGCCCGTCGGTGCGAGTGCCGCCGACATGGCTGAGTGTGCGTGGCGACGACGACGACTCGCTTGTGTGGGCGCTGCGCCGCGTGCCGCGCGCTGTGGTGCTGCTTGCGAGTGACTTTGGGCCATGTACACGCACGCTATCGCTACTGTCGCGTGTCGTGGTGCCGGACGCAGCGAGTCCGGCGGACGACGCGCTGCGCGCAGCGAGCCCGCCGCGCCTGCGGCCGCGGACGTCCGCGACGTTCCGGCACGAGCCGCCGCCGTCGTGGTGCGTCGCCGAGGTCCAGGTCGAGCTGCGGCACTACCCCCACGGGTACTCGGTCGAGGTGCGGTGGATGGACGCCCTGGCGCAGGGCAACCTGGGCGTGAGTCCGTCGCGCCCGCCGAACGAGGCGCTGCCGCTCGAGGTGCACGTGCTCGACCGGCCGCCCAGCGCGCTGCAGGTCGCGACGCATGCGTCGGCGGAGCAGACGCACTGCCACTGTGTGCGCGTCACACTGGCCCCCGGCGCCGCGCAGCGCCCCCTGACGGCGCTCGTGCGCGTGGCCATAGCGCCGCTGCGTGCGGACGGCGCGCCGCGCGCGCCCGGTGGCCATGTACCTGTCACGTGCAATGGCCGCATCGCGGAGATCGCGTACGGCCCCGACGCGCGCGCGCCGTGGCCGGTGGACGCAGATGCGCTTGAGCGCGTGCGTGCAGACGAGGTGCAGGCGTCGCGCACGCTCGAGATCGGTGCACGCGTGCTGGCGAACCCGCTCGCGACCGTCACGGCCGTGAGGGCGCCGGCGACGGCTTCCGCGGGCAAGCCGTCCGAGGCGCCGGCCGAGGCGCCGGCCGCGCCGCCCTCGCCGCCAGCACCCGCGACGCAGCTGTTTGGCCTGCTGCGGCCGTCAGGGCGGTACGGCAGCCTGGCGTCGTTCGTCACGGGCGGCCAGCGGCCGAATGTGTCAGCCGCCGCGGACGGGGGCGGGGCGGTCTCGATGCCGGCGCACGAGCCCAAAGGGGGCGATGCCTCGGACGCCGAGACGAGCGGCGGCGAGCCGCCTGGCGCCCTCGCTCCTGCGGACGCGCAGCCTGCGGCGCATGGCCGGTACCGGCTCACGACGCTCATTCTGGTGATGCTCGTCTCGTTCCTCGCTGGCTCGTTGGTACGTGCGTTTATGGAGCCGGCCGACTTTGTGCTGGTGTCGCCTGCTGCGAGCGCAGGCACTGATGTGCTCGCGCGGGCGGGAGACGTGGTCGATTCGCGCGCGCACGCGCCGCCAGCCGAGGGCGTCCTGGTCGATGCGCGGCGCATGCTCGATATGGCCGCACGCGAAGTGGCTCATGTGGTGCATGCGGCGCGCCAGCTGCACGTGTTTACGCGGGCGAACGCAGAGGCGCAGCAGGACGACGCCAATGTCGCTTCCCTCGTGCGCTGGCGCGAGCTGCACCGGTTCGTCGATGTAGGCATCCCGGGCCTGCCCTGGCGCTGGATCGTAGGCGTCGCGCGGGCCTAGCGAGTCGTGTAGATAGGTGGAGGTTGCCGGGGCAAAAATGGGCGCCTTTTTTTGTTGCCACGATGCAGGCGGACGACGTGATCTGGTCGGTGGTGGGCCACCAGTTCTGCTCGTACAAGATCAAGTCGGCGACGCACTCGACGTTCTGCCGCAATGAATACAACTTGACGGGACTGTGCAACCGGCAGTCGTGCCCTCTGGCGAACTCGCGGTACGCGACGGTGCGAGAGCGCGAGGGCAT